GCCCCACAGGCCGTGCAGCCACAGCCCACCCAGCACCACCCAAGGGCTCGGCGCAGCCGCTCCTCCCATCCCACCACGCTCCCGGTGCGCTCACCACCAGCGCCCGGATGCGGATGCTGTCCCTCTCGCTGTGCTTGTAGATCTCCTTGAGCAGGCTGACGCCGTTGGCGGTGATGAAGGAGGCGCGCTTGGCCTTGTCGGCGGCGTGGATCAGTGCCTCCACCGCTACCAGCTGGTGGGCCTCGCAGACAGAGGCACAGAGGGACAGCACGCTGTCCATGATCCCCTCCAGCTCCAGCACCCTGTTCCCAGCGTCCGAGGGGCCCTGCAGCAGGCACGACACCGTCTGGATGGCCCGCAGCTTCCCAGCCAGCTCGTGCCCCTCGAACCAGCTCCTGCAGGGGAAGACCACCAGGAAGGATAAGGCTGATCCCACCCACCGCCTTCAGCCACACCTGAGCCCCAACAAAGCAGGTCTCTGGTGGCTCTGCAATCTGCTTTTATCACTAAGGGCAAAAAGGTGGCAATAGAGGTGCTGCTACTTCCCCAGAAGGGTGCTGGCTGTATGAGACTGAACCCCCCGCTCCGCCCCCAGGGACGCACGGGCTCACCTCACGTAGTCCTCGCACAAGTGGTGGAAGTTTTCTCTCTCAGCATCGCATTTCAGGTCATCGTAAAGTTTGCTCAGCAGAACCGAGGCACTCATCCGGCTGTTCTCTGTCACGGGCAGGCTGCCCGGGGCACTGCACACTGTACTTCCCACCTCCAGGATCTTCTTCAGGCCTAGGAGAACGTGAGGTCAGACACCCCAGTGAGGAGCAACATGGGGTGCGCAGGCAGAACAGAGGCACGCGGCACCCCGAGGCAGAGGGGCACGATGCCCCAGCGGGATGCTGCAGGCTGTTCTGCTCACCCTGGTCGATCACCCAGAGGCTCAAGCTGTTGTTGGTCTCCTTTGGCGACTTCCTGGGCACCACCTTGATAAGCAGGTTGAGGGCATTGTCACGGCCATGCGCAGAGGCCCCTTCCAGTGCTAGCAGCTCCAGGAGGTGCTTGATCAGCAGTTTCAGGTCCTTGGAGGAATCTTCCAGAAGAGACGGTGCCCAGCAGTCAGCGCCCTGGGCACAGGCCTCACCCCGGCCTTGGTAAGGCTGGCAGGAGATGCTGCCATGACCAGGGGCTCCTGCCTCCCAGCTCAACCTCATATTAACCCTGACCCAGAGCGCCGGCTCTGCGGCAGGGGGGGGTGGCCAGGTTCCGCTGCGGCTCAGCGCCTCCCCAGGACACTCTCCCCACCCCACGCCAGCCAGCCGGGGCAGCAGACACTTACCCAGCACCACCGCATCCTCCTTGCCACGGAAGTCCTTCTGAAGCCCCTCCTTCAGGGAATCGAACATCACGTGCAGAAGGTTGCAGGCAGCCAGGGAAACCTGCTCGTGCTCCACACCCAGCACCGCCGAGAGACGAGGGGCCCCCAGCTCCACCAGGATGGCCATGGTCTACAGGTACAAGCACAACTGTCTGCTGGAGACTTCGGGGAAGCCTTACTGCTTCCTAGCACTTTATCAGGACAGTTCCCTGTCACAACAAGGCGCTCACAAACTCAGGCCTGGCAGGTGACAGCTCAGAGCTCCTCTGCTCAGCAGGGCTGCAGCCAGCCGCAGGCAGAGGCCAGCGACGCTCCCCTGCCTGACACGCTTCGCAGACTCCCCGACACTGATTCCCCTGGGTCAGGCCCTGTCATGCAGGAGAGCTGGGCTACAGCGGGACCTACCCGGGAGCGGTGCCCGGAGCACAGTCCCACCAGGGTGCGCAGGGCCGCCAGCATCAGGTCAGCCTTGGCTGTGTCAAGCAGCTGCGTCAGCAGCCGCACACCATCACTTTGGAAGATTTTCTCTGCTCCGGCCTCCTCTCGTGCCAGCACAATCAGGTTCTGCGCAGCCTGGGAAAGAAGACTCATGTCTGGGTCGCCTGCCCACCAGAACACAGCCCACCGTGCGCAGGGAACCTCCCCAGCGGGAGCCGGCTGGGCAGGCGGGGGAGCCGCAGGCACCCGACCTCTGCCCCCCAGCCTCCGAGGAGCACGTTCTGCTGGTGGGAAGCCTGGCCTTGCCCGGGCAGCACTGTTCAGCCAGCAGCACTGACCTGGGAATACCGCTCCTCCCCTCCCTGCCTTCCAGCCAAGCCGTGCTGCCCTCCGCTCCCCAGAGCTCAGACCTTTTGCTTCTTGTCCACGTCCTTTTCTTCAGGATCCAGCAAGATCTGGAACATCTGCTCTACCTTCGAGTCCGTGCAGGACATGGTCTTCATCTGAGACAGAGCAGAAAGAGCAGCTCAGCCCTCACCCGCTTCCCTGAGCCCACCACACCCATGGGGGGGCCGCAGCAGCCCCCACCCCCCACACTACCTCCCCACTCACCTTCTCGTGCATGCTGCTCCCCAGGGCACGCAGGGCCTCCTGGAAGGCCTTGTTCTTGGGCTCCAGGCTCACACATCGCTGCAGGTCACTGACAGCCTGGTCCAGGCGGCCCAGCTTCTGCAGCGCCTGGCTCCGGCGGAACAGCGCCTTCATGTCCCGGCCATCGGCTTCAATGGCTGCGGATGAGCAGGGGATCCATCGCAAAGCCCCTGACCCATCGCAAAGCCCCTGGACTGCTCCGGTCTGCCCGGACAGGCAGTGCACAGAGGCCAGTCCCCTGCCAGCCACCACTGACCTTTAGATGCATCAGCCTCTGCCTTGGCATAGTCCTCCTGCAGAGAGAGAGTTGGCGAGAGGGAAACGCCTGACGTGCTGCCCGTGCAGGCCTCGCTCAGCCCAGCCTGCTGTGGGCAGAGGCAGCACCCGCCACTTTAGAGAGAAGAGCAGGGAAAAGACTGTGGGGTTTGAGGACGGGAACAGCGTCACTGAGGACAGTGAGCCAGCCCAGTAGGACATCCCATCCTTCCCAGAGTACAATGCTCATCGGGTCCCCAGCGAGCCCTAGGGTCCCCTGATGGTTTTCAAGTGCTCCCAGTCTACTCAAGCCCCTGAAGATCCTCGTGCTCCCCCTTGCCTCAGAGACAGTTCCACGGTGGGAGATCAGAGACGCTGTGACTGCCTGGGGAACAGCCCCAGAGCATAGGCACAGCCCAGGCATGGACGGGAGTGCCCTGCCCTGGCCCTGACAGCCCACCCGGGAGGTGGGGCAGCACGGGACAGCGGGCAGGCCCAGGAGAACAGGTGAGCAGAGAAGACACCAGACAGCGTCCTGCCCGGGGACCGACAGGGCCTCCCAGCGCAGGCGCGCCG